GTTAGTAGTGAGTTTGTCTGCGCTAGAGCTTGGGCTAGCCTAGCAGGAGAGCAGGGTGCATTAGGGGGCTCCCTATGACAGGATCAGACTGCGCAAGGGGAATTGTTGCACTTGCTTAGGGCTGTAGTGGATAGGTGGCCAGGGATCACGGGGCCTAGCCCAGGGGGAGACACGCACAGGGTGCTGGTGGAGGCACAGGCTGAAGGGGCACTTTTGCTAGTCCCCCTGAAAAGGATTTTGTGGATAGGCCGCATCGTGGCGATCCACATGATTTGGATAAGAGTAAACAAATCCCACATACGTTTGGGAATTGGTTACAGGGATTTGCATTTTTTTTTGAGTATCCTGACCCGTCGGTTTCCGGAGCAGGCGTCATCATTGTTCGGGTATTTGGACCTTATTTGGGGTGCCTATAATGTCTATGGTGGTCAGAGCTGGTTCCGATACAACCAGTGGTTCCCGACAAAAGATGGTGGCGTGTCCTGGATTGGACTTTAGTACTCAGGACAGCAGCATGTGGCTGTTGCTCATGACTCCCAGTCGTCCCGTGTCCTTTCCAGGGGCAGCCGGGGCACTCTCCTCGTGCAGGTTTAAGCATGAGTACTGTCATTGCGGGGGGCCCTCATGCCGCCATTCGATGTTTTAAGAAGCCAAAGCAGACATTGCCTAAGTTGGGGGCCCGTTAGGACGGTTCCAATGGGGAGGACGCCAGTGAGAGTGGCAAGGATGTTGCCGTGGCTCGAGGTCTACCCTAAACGCCACTGAGCAGTGTTGGAGGAAGGGTTTTCAGTCGGGTTTTGGATCCCCTTTGTTTTTTCACCGAAGCCACTTATGGAGGATAATCTACGGTCGGTTCGGGGTAATGTGGATATTTTGGGCGACAAGTTGTCTAAGGAGTCATCACTAGGGTGCATGGCTGGGCCATTTAATTTTATCCCCTTTCCTAACCTCTGGGTATCACCCTTGAGGTTGGTGCAAAAAAAGGAGCCTGGTTCCTTTCCTATGATTCATCACCTGTCTTACCCGGCTAGGAGTTCAACTGAATGATGATATTGATAAGGAGTTCAGCAGGGTCTGCTACTCCTCATTTGTTCGGGAGTTGTCGCTGGTTAGGAGAGTGGGAGTGGGGGCACTCCTGGCAATAACCTACATCGAATTGGCGTTTCGGTTGTTGCCAGTTCACCCAGAATGTTTTCACCTTCTGGGTTGTCAATTTCCTGTTTGTAGGTCTTTGGGAGAGTGACGGGTGTGCCCAGTTATTGTCGTCATTCCGCTCAGTGGCTACTTTGTTCCGGTTCCGGTGGTGGAGCAGAAGACAGAAGAGCCGTCCACTAGGTTGTCTTGACATGGTGGACATTGTTTTTCGTTTGCCAGACGAAAAGCTCATTGTGCTTCTGAGGCAGGTTGATCTGGTGAAGTTGGCATGGAAGGTTCAGTTACGTACTATGCAGGTGTTGCTGGGTCATCTGGCTTTTGCTTGCAGAGTTCTGCCGATGGATCAGGCTTTTTGTCGCTGTTTGTCTTTGCTGACGGTCGGGATTAGGAAGGCTCACCATTTTATTCAGGTGACGGCCAAGCTGCGGGCTGACCTGCAAATCTGGAGTGCCTTCCTGGGTAAATATAATGGGTGGTCATCCTGGTTGCGGGAAGCGGTGTCCAATTCAGAGTTGGACCTCTTCACAGATGCATCGGGATCTGTTGGTTTTGGAGCCTTCTTTCGGGGTGAGTGGTGTGCGGCAGGGTGGCCTTCGGAATGGTGTGGGTTGGACGTGATTCATAACCTAAAATTTTTTGAACTTTTTCCTATAGTGGTGGCTCTGGCATTATGGGGGGAGGATCTTCAGGATCGGGTGGTGGTTTTTCACACGGACAATATGAGTGTTATCCATTTGATTAATCAATCATCGTCTGCATCTCCTCCAGTTCTGGCTCTTTTGCAATATCTGGTGCTGTTAAGCTTAAGGTTTAATGTGTGGATGCAGGCATGGCATGTCCCCGGGGAGTTGAACGTAGTGGCTTACTCTCTTTCTCGGTTTCAGTGGGATCGTTTTCGGGACTCGGCCCTTTGTACTTACAGGTCTTGCGTGGCTGGAGGAGTCGTAGGCGTCCGGATTGATGTCAGACAATTTATGTGGATTTACTGTGGTGGTTCTTGGCGGCATTGCCTAGCGTTCTGTTATTCCAGGTGGCATTCGTGTTCTGTTTTTTTTAGCTTTACGGGTGGGGGAGCTCGTAGCCCCCAATCGCCGTTCAGTTTCCCCATTATTGTTATCGGATGGGCATTGGTCGGATACTTTTGTGGACTTACATATTCGCAGGTCGAAGGCGGATAGGGCCGGTAGAGGCATGTGACTCCGGGTGGGTAATACTGGGGGTGAGTTTTGTCCTTTTCGGGTGTTTCATCATTTTTTAAGGCGTTTAGGCCGTCGTCAGTCTCACTATTGGTATACGCAGATGGGTCCCCGTTGGTGCTTGGGAAAGCGCTAGTGTCTTGTGGGCGAGATCCTACTGGTTTCTTTCCTCAGTCCTTTAGAATTGAGACTGCGACACAAGCTAACGTCTTGGGTTTTGCGGGTTCGGTTGTGCAGCGTTTAGGTAGATGATCATCCAAGAGATATCAGCTGTACGTCTGGCCTCATTTGTTGTAATTTGTTTCAGGTTGTGTTCCCCGTTATGTGTGGATATTAGGACATTCGTTTATCTATTGGGCAGCTCGACGGGCAGAGTCACGCTCCTATGGACAGAACCTTGGGATTCCAGCGGATTTAGCGAGGGTTCGCAGGCGGGGTATTCGGGGGTTGTTCTGGAAGCACATCCATGCGGGGGTTAATGATTTAGGTAGGGTTAGGACCGTGGATTTAGTGCACTCTGTCAAGCATGACCTGGTGCGGTGTCTGGCCTTGTTTTCTGAGTGTACTTTGATATGGTCCGAGATTGTTTCCCGTCCATGCTGGCAAACCTTGCCTCAAGCCAAGGGTTTGGAATGGAGCAGATGCAAGTTCAACATCATCATTTCTAGGTTTGTGCGTTGACTTGGTTGGGTGTCAGTACACTTGGAGCTAGAGGGGGACAATCGAAACTTAATTAAGGTGGACGAAGTTGCTCTTCTTTTCTTATACAAATATATATGGACATTTAATAATGTAATGTTTCCATGATTTGACTGTGATTCACTTTAATATTAGAGGTCATGTTAGAAGAGTGTCACAGTGCATGCCTCTACCCTTTCCATCTACATGGCTCATGAAGTAGGAAGGGATTTTCAACTGTGAGCACATATTTAGGACTGTTAGTAGCAAAAATCTTAACGATATTGTGCCATGCTGTGTATAACAGAATGTAATAGTTCATTGTAATGTGCTAAAAAAAAAGAAAAAAATTATCATATTATAGAGATACCTTGTTATTTTATTTTCTCTGCGGGAACCCACTTATTTTTAATCTGATTTTAGGTTTTAAATTAAAACAGGAAAAAATGATTTATTTAATAGGATAGTTCTTTTGTCTCTCCTCACAGCTTTTAGCCAAACATGATTTGTAAAGTTCTCCTTTTTCTCTCGCAATGATTTATAGCAGAACACTGATCTTTTCAGTGCCAGATCACTTTAAATAAAGTGCTAGGGTCAATTTTAATCAATACATGCACAAGAGATTAACTGAAACAGTCAATACAACATTTTCTCAGTTTCTGTGTTCCATGTCTCTCTCGAAGCAGTTTCATGTACGTTATCTGTGTTTTCCGAGATTCCTGTCACACTGACATTATGTATGTGGTCATGAGATAGGTTGCAACCTTGTTTTCTTCTGTTTTCTCTAGGATAACCCATTAATGTTGGATATTTTCTCCCGTTCCAGCTCTCATTAGAAACACTTTGTTCAGGGTTGCATCAGTTTTGTCAACATTGCTTGGGCAGTCCCCACAAGCTGCATGGGGAATAGGGAAGACTCTCGCTTTACTGGACTATGCAAACATAGTCAGCAGCTCTGCTGATAACAAAGCACAACCTGATTTACTAAACAGTGGACCAGAGTAGACTGTGTCTAAGGTGATGGCAGCTGTGATTTAACTGCTTTTAGTTTATGTGGCAGTTAGAATCATCTTATGTGATATTCAAAGTGAGATTTGGGCATAACAATACCCCATAAACTGCTGCTTGACAGGGGCTAATGAAATGATATCAGTTCTCAAAGTTTAGAATAAAACCTTCCTGATTGGAGCAACTAACTGATGTGGGAGGCGTCTGTATGCAACCGCAGACAGATTCACTAAACAGTGCATTCTGTTTCAAGGCCTGCATGTTTGATGTTTTTGCATTGTTAATGCATTTGTCTTAATAATGTATTAAAACATATGAGAACATTTTTGACACAGAAAATAACTTTAAATATTTGCTGCTGACCAAAATTCAAAAATGTTCAACGTACAAGATAAAGGATACATAATAATATCAGTGTAAAGAAAAAAAAAAACAGAACATTTTCATACAATGGATCATGTTAAAGCCAGTAAACGTTTTTTTTTGTAACACACGGAAAGTGCTGTGCTGAGCTATAATTTGAAAGCTACAGGAAAGAAATCATCATCAATCCATGTAGAATCCTGCAGCATACTTACTGCACATAAAGTGTTATAAATAGTCCCTATGCCAGTCATTCAAAATTGGTTCAATACTACCAAACAAGAGAAAAAGTTCAAGGTCACTGATTAGCCACAACATTAACACCACCAGCCTAATATCATGCAGGCAGCAGGGGAATTACTGCTGGTGCAGCCACTATGTGGAGGACCATTGGGTGTCCCTCACACGTAGGAACACTTGATGGGCATCTCTGCCCGGTTCTCCAAAGGCGACAGCTTCTGCCTCGTGCACAAAGGTAGGTTGTCAAGCAATCTTCTAGCGGAGAAACGCTGGGGGTAGATCCCACTACCTGTTGGAACCTTATCAGAGCAGTTAAACTGCAGAGCTCGGAAGCAGGCCTGGGATCTACCCCCAGCGTTTATCTGCCAGAAGATTGCTTGACAGCCTGCCTTTGTGCACGAGGCAGACGCTTTCGCCTTTGGAGAACCGGGCATCCCCTCTGCTACTTGGAGAGAAACTGCTGCTATTCGAGCTGATACTGTGGTCCTTAGTGAAAAGTACCACATTTTTATTTGATTTTGTAAGAGTTCCTTATTTGGGGGGATTTTCTGTACTGGGGCAATAAACGTAATAGTGTTACACTATATTCTGTTTATTTTGCTTTTAAGGTATATCCAGTACATCATTTGGTCTCATACTACCAAAACAGAATATCCATTTGCATTGTACCTATAGAATTTGGGAAAATTCTTTGTTCCAGCAGATAGTATTTACTGTGTACCTTAGGTACTATTTTCTGCACTTTGCCACTTTTTATATTGATAACAAAATTTAAGTGAAACTGGCTGGTTAGACAGTCCACCAGCAAAGACGCAGTTGAGTTGACTTATTATATGCGCTCTCTTTTTTCATTGTTACATAATGTAAAATAATTTGATTAAAAAAACACAATTAAAAATATACAGTGTCAAAACTAAACAATTAAAGTGATAATGTTTTGATATATATACTCGCAATGCATATTATAAATCTGCTTTACATCAAATAGAAATTATTATTAAAATTACCTTGCTATCCAAAACATAGGTAGAAAAAATGCAAATGAGGGAATACCTGTTTTAAGCCCACCACTATGCCACAGTACCCCAATATAGGTCTTACACTAATAATAACACGAGAGACAAATCAAATAGTGCTAATGCTAAATGAACTAAATTGTATTTAATTAAACTGTTGAGATAGTTGATTTTAAGTAGCCTTGTAAAATGTAAAACTATATTTTTTGTGTGTGAGGTGTTCCTTAATTTGTATTTTGTATAAATTTTGGTCTTTACGGCAACACCATTGCTGAGAAATGTTCTAGGTTTGCCTTGCACTAGAGAGGGTTCAAAAAGGTTTTGCTCAACATTAATTCTGCCAATGAGTGTAAGTCCACCTTGTTCTGACAAAACAGCTTTGATGTATCGAGGCACCAACTACACAAGATCTCTGAATGTGTCCTGTGGTATCGGGCACCAACACATTATCAGCAAATCCATTAAGTCCTGCAAGTTGCGAGGTGGAGGCTCCATAGGTCAGATTTGTTGTTCTTGGCACATCCATCTGATTGAGATCTGAGGAATTTGGAGGCCAACTTAACACCTTAAACTATTTGTCATGTTCCTCAAAAAATTCCTGAAAAATGTTTGCAGTGCGGCAGGGTGCATTATCCTGCTGAAAGAGGTCACTGCTATCACGAAACACCATTGCAATGAAGGGGTGTATGTGGTCTGCAATAGTCTCTAGATAGGTGGTATGTGTCAAAGTAACATCCATATGAATGCCAGGACCCAAAACGTCCCTGCAGAACATAACACATGCCTGCACCGGCCTGCACATGCCTTTTTCCAGACCTGTATATATATCATCAGGGTCATCTTTAATATTGATTGGACCCCGGGCATTTGCTTGGGTCCCTGGATCCTGCACCCACACACACTCACTGGCATGCAATCACACCCTCTAGCCCAACCTAGCGGCAGTTCTAATGTTGAGAAATTTTTCTGACCCTTCCTCTAGCCCAAGAGTGGTGAAAACATGAATCCCCATCTCTCGTTCAGCTACAATGATGCTATGCCATTCTTGCAGGGTTGTATTTGTGAGCAGTGTTTGTGTGTTTGAATGTAAGAATGCTTTTGTATAGAGTATGTTTGTGCATGTGTGTGTGTATTGTTGTATTTGTGTGTACTGTTACCATTGGAATGCAGTGGTGTACATGTTTGTAGTGTTTGCTTTTGAATGCAGGAGTATGTGTGTTTATATGTTGTATTGGCTTTTCAAAGAAAAACTACCACAACAAGAGGACATAGTTCTAAATTAGAGGAGGAAATTTTTCAAAATAAGTTCAGTATTACTTTACAGAGAAGGTAGTGGATGCATGAAAAAATCCTTCCAGCTGAAGTGGTAGAAGTTAACACAGTGAGGGAGTTTAACACCTTCCCGACCTCGGACATACCAGGTACATCTGACAAAAAACAATTTTATATATATATAAATTGGCCCCCAGCAGCACCCCCATTTATGCATGTTAAGGTGAGTGCAGCCAACCCCCTCTTGTTTTATATATATATTTGGGAGTCTAGCCAACTCCTTGGTTTTGCACCCCTCCCTGTCACAGGTGCCTCATCCCAGGGCCCTATTTAGCCTTGTACTGCAGAGAGCCCCAGATGGAATTTTTTCCCCAAGTAGGTTAATCTCATAAGAGCAGACATTAGGCTGTTAGTGTAGGACCTGCCAAAGATGGGGCACATTGACGTTGTGGCAGGCTTATGCAATGTATGATCATATAATGTAACTAAACCCCCATTATTTTTGCATAGATTAGGTGTTTTTAAAAAAACAAATAAAATCTTTCAACATTGAAGTTGCTGTTTAGTGGATAGGTGAGTGCGCTGGATCTTGTGTATTGTACTATTTGGCCCCCAGCAGCACCCCCATTTATGCATGTTAAGGTGAGTGCAGCCAACCCCCTCTTGTTTTATATATATATTTGGGAGTCTAGCCAACTCCTTGGTTTTGCACCCCTCCCTGTCACAGGTGCCTCATCCCAGGGCCCTATTTAGCCTTGTACTGCAGAGAGCCCCAGATGGAAATTTTTTTCCCCAAGTAGGTTAATCTCATAAGAGCAGACATTAGGCTGTTAGTGTAGGACCTGCCAAAGATGGGGTACATTGACGCTGTGGCAGGCTTATGCAATGTATGATCATATAATGTAACTAAACCCCCATTATTTTTGCCTAGATTAGGTGTTTTTAAAAAAAACAAATAAAATCTTTCAACATTGAAGTTGCTGTTTAGTGGATAGGGGAGTGCGCTGGATCTTGTGTATTGTATTATTTGGCCCCCAGCAGCACCCCCATTTATGCATGTTAAGGTGAGTGCAGCCAACCCCCTCTTGTTTTATATATATTTGGGAGTCTAGCCAACTCCTTGGTTTTGCACCCCTCCCCGTCACAGGTGCCTCATCCCAGGGCCCTATTTAGCCTTGTACTGCAGAGAGCCCCAGATGGAATTTCTTTCCCCAAGTAGGTTAATCTCATAAGAGCAGACATTAGGCTGTTAGTGTAGGACCTGCCAAAGATGGGGTACATTGACGTTGTGGCAGGCTTATGCAATGTATGATCATATAATGTAACTAAACCCCATTATTTTTGCCTAGATTAGGTGTTTTTAAAAAAACAAATAAAATCTTTCAACATTGAAGTTGCTGTTTAGTGGATAGGGGAGTGCGCTGGATCTTGTGTATTATATATATATATATATATATATATATAAATTATTTTTCTTTATAAATGTATATATATATATATATATATATATATACACACACACACATATATATTTAAATTCTACAAATATATTTATATATTATTTTTACATAATTAAGTCATTTTATTAATTACAATTTGAGGGACCTGCCTGACAACTAGTGATGTGCATGGGCAAAAAAATTGGCTCGATTCGGTTCGAAAATTTGGGTAAGTAAAAAAATGAGTCTGCTTTGGCAATTTAGACCAATGGCATTCAGTTCGGTTCAGCACTTCGCTAATTCAGACCCTAGCCCTAATCCCGAAACCCTGACCCCTTATTTTGTCCCTAACCACTTGTTTTGCCACTTTTCAGAAATCTGAAGCACTTCGGCAATTCGGCAATTCAAACTTAGGACATTTGGGTGCTTACGGATTGGATTGCATTCGAATTGCAAGAAATTTGTCCGATTTTACATTTGGAAAAAAAGAGTCTCGCGGGTAAAACCGAACCCCCTATGTACAGGTTTTATGGTGTTTCAAATATAACTAGTCAAATATAAGGCTTGCATTTCCTTTTTTTCACATTGAATTTTGCCAGATTGGAAATGTTGTATTTGAGATCGTATGGTATCCCAGGAATGAGAATTACCCCATGATGGCATACCATTTACAAAAGTAGACAACTCAAGGTATTGCAAATGGGGTATGTCAAGTATTTTTTAAGTTACAAACACTGGCCAAAATTATAATTTCAATTTGTTTTTTGCATTTTTCATACACAAACAAATATGAACGCTAACTTTTTCCAGTGTTCATGACTAGGTGGCTACTTAAAAAGACTGGATATACCCCATATTGAATACCCTGGGTTGTCTACTTTAAAAAAAAATATGTACATGTAAGGTATGATTCAGAGATATATGACAGATAAGTGTTACAATATCACTATTGATACATTTTTTAAATATATATTTTGAAACAATATCCTACTTGTACTTATAGCCCTATAACTTGCAAAACAAAGCAAAGAACATGTTAACATTGGGTATTTCTAAACTCAGGACAAAATTTGGAAACTATTTAGCACTGGTGTTTTGTAGCGGTTGAAGATGCGTAACAGATTTTGGGGGTCAAAGTTTTAAAAAAGTGTGTTTGTTTTAAAAATATATCATATTTTATAATTTTTTTATAGTAAATTATATGATATGATAAAAATAATGGTTACTTTAGAAAGCCAATTTACTGGCGAAAAAACATATAATATGTGTACATATAATATGTGTACAGTAAATGAGAAAGAGGAAAAATACAGCTAGACACAAACACTGCAGAAATGTAAAAACAGCTCTGGTCCTTAACGGTAAGAAAAGTGAAAAATGGTCTGGTCACTAATGGGGTTAAGCAAGCATGGGATAGGCATAAGGCTATCCTAGATGTTAAAAAGGACAACGACTAATGAAAGTATTTAGAAAACTGTGCAGACTAGAAACATAGAATGTGATGGCAGATAAGAACCATTCGGCCTATCTAGTCTGCCCAATTTTTTAAAAAAAATACTTTGGGCCAAACAGTTGTGTATCTGCCATTACATTCTATGTGTGCTTTTGTGTGTAAAGTTTGTGTTTGTATATAATTTAGCGTTTTATTACAGGGGGTGTTTGTATGTAATGTTTGCATTTACATGCAGGGGTGTTTGGATGTAATGT